ACAATGTTCTCAAGCGGTTTCGTTTTCGAGTGTGGTCCGGAAGGTTCAAAGCAAATGTCGTGCTGGAACATTGGATCGGCAGCTGAACTGGAAGGTGTTGAGGTTGATCAAGAGAAACCCAAAACCAGTGCGCAAAACATTCAGGTTCAATAAGTCATTTTCATATGAATATGAACTGCCAGCTGCCTCATCATTCACTGCCTCGTGAGAGTCTGAATGATTGAGATGAAAACGAGTCACTGACAGCCGAGCACTCAGTCAGTAGCTCAGTCAGCACGTTTATTCTTCGGTGATGGTACCCAATCCTTGTTTTGAATGACAGAGCGGAAATACCTCAATAAGGTGATCCAAGAGACGTTTATCAGTGAAACTGACAGCTAGAAATCTAGAGTGTGTGAGTGATCTGATGTTAATGGTGCTGAATGTAAACATAGACAAAGCAGAAATTAATATGAGAATAAACTGCCAGTTCTATCAAAGAATATTACTAAGAAGAAACAGGCAGGAGAAAAAAACATTCTATTTTAGTGTTTTCACGGTCCCTTTGATCCAATGAAGACCCCCCGTATGCAAGGTGTTTTTGTGGTTATGCTGCCCCTTCGGTAGAGTTGAAATCTTGCGCTTTTTTAATCAAAACAATCACACCAATCACATCAACGATGTCCTATTTTTTAATTACTCGATTAACAACTAATCACTTGTTTTTTGTTCGCTGTGCTGTCAGTTTTCCACCAATGTGAGTGCATAACATGTCTTAAACAATGGGTGACGATTCTCTGGAGAAGTTAATGCTTATATCGGCATGATGTCACCAATAACAAATATTTTACTTTTCGGTTCGGTAATCGATTAATCGATTATTCGAATAAAAATCGCACATCACTAGATGAATATGAAATGTCATTTCAAATATAAGGGCCATCCATAAATAATGAGACAAATTAAAAGGGACCGAGGCTAATCACAAATTACGTTCCCGGACGTTGATCGGTCAAAAGTTCTTGGTAAACAAAAAAGTCAGCTGATCGCAACTGTCTCGTGGATAGCCTTATTACATGCTGTGTGAGCGAAGGCAAGCGGTGTTAGTCTTGTTCGTGAGTGACTGAATGTTTGTGTTGGCTCTTTCATTGCCTCTTTCTTTACCGTTTGGTACAAACGGTCTGGACAGAGCAATGAATTGAATAGTGCAGTACTTTCACACTCAGCTTAAGTAGTCAATAATTTTACGTTATGCCCAGAACTCTCGAATTGGGACGTCGCAAAAAAAATAATAATACGGTAACAGCCGTAGTACCAACCGGTGGAAACTAACGATTTTAAGTTGGCTCACTACTTGACTAGCCTATTGGTCCCAAGCAAATCGATTAACGGACCCCATTCTAGTAAAAATTCTAGTACTACACTATGTTTGTTTTGATTCGCTATGAAAGTTTGACAGATAAAATGAGGGGTTCGTGGATTCTCCTATGTTTCGATGGGTGCATCGATTAGTTTGGGACCGAAGATAGAACTGAGCCAAAAAATTGAACACGTTTCTTCCGGACCTTCTGGTCTTAGAGTTAGCTCTATGGTACTACCATAGAGGTAACTCTAAGACCAGAAGGTCCCGAAGAAATGTGCTCAACTTTTTGGCTCAGTAGTCAAGTAGTGAGCCAACTTAAAATCGTTAGTTTCCACCGGTTGGTACTACGGCTGTTACCGTATTATAATTTTTTTGCGACGTCCCAATTCGAGAGTTCTGGGCATAGCGTAAAATTATTGACGCATATTGTCGGACTAGAATTTCGTCTAGAATGGGGTACGCTTATAGATGTACTTGAAACCAATAGGCTAGTCAATTAGTGAGCCAATTTAAAATCATTAGTTTCCATCGGTTGGTAGTACCGTCCGGAGGATCCGTCTGCGAACAGGTTACCGTTCATTCCGTGCCTCCAAGCAGCCGAGCCGGACTATGAGGCAGAATCTAGTAACCAGAACAAGCGCCTGGAAGCTTTACTACCGGGTTCTGACGAAGTACAGAAGATGCCTTCTCATGGATGACGAAACCTATGTCAAGATGGATTTCAGGCAGGTTCCCGGACAAAAGTGTTATCTGGCCACAGCATGGGGTGATGTCTCCAACAAATTAAAATTTGTTTTCGCCGATAATCTCGCCCAGAAACTAAAAAATGGCCACTGAGGTTGACTAGTCCAGTGTGCGGCACATGATGGCGAGAATTCCAAAGAAAGTCCGCGACTCCATCCGAACGCCGTCGGAGTCATTTTGCATTTTTTTTTTAAGGGTTTTGATCTAATTTCCGTCCTACTAAGCACAACCCGCGCTTTACCTCTTTTTCTTTGAACGGGTTTGAACAAAAAACGCAAATTGTCGAGATATGGCTTAAAATCTAATATTGCTTCTTGATTCTAAATTCGTTCTACGAGTTTTAATTCCGTCCTAACGCATTGAAACGGCATCAGATTTTCTTCGTCCTACGGATAAACGTAGAGAAAAGGGATTCGCTAGAAGCGCTTCTTTTGTTTTGAGAACAATGATCGTAAATATTTATACAATGCGCTCTAATAGGATGTATGTTGTAGCTAATGAACTAACGCATCGGAACGAACCTATTATTGATTTGTGCAGGGTGAAATCATTGATATTATTGATCTTTTCTGATCGATAGAACGGAAATGGGCAATTGCGACGAAATAGTGCTCTACCCTACCATAAATTAACTTTGTTTGACTAAATTATATTTTTTCTTACGTCAAATCAATCCCGAGTAACACCTGGCTTTATGTGTCCGGATTCTAAGTCTACCAGACTTAGGTTCCATTTCCTAAAATATTTATGATATTTGATAAGTGACCAGCATACCGCCATTGTGGCCAAACCTGACTTCATTCGGCATCGATTCCTTATGTCCAATTGCGTCAACATCGGTTCTGTATGCCAGAAACTCAAAATTCAGACTCTGACAAATAATATAATAATCATGTTTATCTACTTTTGGGTACAACTAACTTACTGTTGGGTGTACTAACTTACTGTACTTTGACCCGCTTTACCTACTGTTGGGTTCCTGCACTATAGTGCCGAGAGGAGGGAAAAGAACTTACTTTTGAGTACTTTTTTCTTACCGTGTACGTTGATTGTGAATCAAAAGACCTATAGAAATCGGGTGACTTAACATCGAGAAACATGTTGATGGGAAGGTGCTTACGTCAAAAAGTAATTTGGCTGGTAAACAAACTTAAACAGGGGATGTGCTTCTCGAGGGGTTTCAGTGCCAGTCAGATTACTGAAAATTACTATGATTACTTTTCAATTAATTAAAATTACTTTATTACTTTGAAATTATTTTTATTACCGTCGATTATCGAAATTACTACGATTTCTTGAATAATTTTAGGAATTACTTTGGAATTACTCAATTATTATTAACAATGTTTCCCACGATGGAATTGCACCGTTTTAAAAAATTCATGTAAATTTCTGCGAGATATAGCGCACTTAAAATTAACGCTAGATTTGGCATAAATTTTCGCGAAAAGTGTCACTGCTAATTAATGAATAATTTATGTATTGTACCCATTAAGTAGTAACTGCAGGCACCGGTGGTGTACTGGTAAGCGTGCCTGTTTTCTCACCCCAATGGGTCTGGGTTCAATCCCAGCCGAGGTCGGTAGGATTTTTCTGAGGCATAAAAATCTCTGGTCACGTCTTCCTTCGGAAAGGAAGTAAAGCCGTTGGTCCCGGCCCATGTGTGTTGAATGGGTGCGATATCGTACGCAGTTGTGGAAGCTGCCTTCCTGCACATTCGATTGCCACCAATAGATGGCAATCGATGTCCGTCGGTGATTGGCACTAGATTGCGGAACAGAGACCGACGTTAAATAAAGGAGTACAAGTAGTAACTGTTAGCTTCTGTTAGCAGCAACTCATAATCGTTAAAATAATTTACTCATTAATGAGTAAAACCACTTTTATTAAAAATGGGTTAACTTTTACTCATAAAGGGTATTTGATTCTTACCGTGCAAGCGTAGGGTTTGTTTTTGTTTTGTTGTTTATTTCTACTTTAAAATGACAGTTATAACGGCAAACAAAAAAATTCTAACAACTAACAAAAAATACCATCTCACTAACACACGCAAATCGCACCAATACGAATCCGCCTGGAGAGGACTATAGCGATGTTCGAAGAAACAAGTCAACTGATGAAGATTTATCCTGGAATTTTGTGTAACATTCCAGAACTTGTTAAAAAAAGCAATTTAAAATCTTCCCAATCCTTTAGATCCATCGACCAATATTAGACGCTTTCTCCTACATATTGTGAACGCGCTAGATTTGGGAAAAAATGACGTAAGTTTGTTCCATAAAATGAAAGATGTTCGTTGTAGAAACTGTTTGTTTGCAGCTGGTATTATCCATTCATAGTTCATAATTTGTTTATAAAAATAATATTCAAACATAATATTTTTCATGATAATTTTAATTTAAATAATAATGACATATATTTAATAAAATATCATTATCATGTCATTTGACTTCATGACATAAGAAATAAATAATATTTTTTTGGTTAGGATTGATTTTTTAATCTTCTCAGCCCCTTTTTGAAAATCTTTTCCAATGTTCTTCGGAACCCATGCGCGGGCTGACAAAACCGGGACTGTATAATCACAGACAAAGTATAATGCTCGCTTTTTAAAATACCTAAATCAATTAATTCACATAGGATGTAGGTTTCCATAAGAAATCAAAATGCAGACAAAAGTTGTACGAGATGTTATGCCAATAAACTTTTGAATCTTTTGCGGTGGCGGTGTGTGTCGTCAAATTTGACGCTATAAATATATCGTCACCCTATTGTAATACTTAACAGTGCTACCGCCATGTTTCTCACAATTAACCTTCTGCATCGAGCAATATTTTTTTAACAAATCCAACCAAGCAAATCCATTGCATTTGCATTGTACCTCGTTTTGAACATTCATCTTTTAAATATCAAGATCGCATCACCACGTCCCATAAGGGGGTAAGTGAAACTGCTAACCCCGAAAACAAAACTGAAAAGTAGAATAAACTTCCCGAAAAAAAAACCTAATCGTTAAAACCGCTTGAAAATGAAGTGACATCGTACCAGCATCGTTCCGGTAGATTGATATCTCGCCGCCACCACCAGTCAGCCTCGAGAACAAAGTCGTGTAAGTACTTTTATACCTTTACCTTCTCGATCTGTGTTTTTCGGAAACGCGTGTATGGCAAACTCTCTTGCTCCTATATATTTTCGGTTTCGTTTTCCCTTTTGTGTGGCGTCCCAGTAAAATGAGATGGGCTGGAAAATGGGAAAAGCTGGTAGGTGGTCCAGTGTTCTTCTGGGGTTTATTTTCCGTTTCTGTAATGTGAAACAAATTCGGAAAATTTTGGTCACAATACATTCAATTCTGGCGATTTTTTTTGTACCGATTTTGACCTCATGCATGATGGGTACAGCAATATTTTAGTGTGACAAGTTTCAATAAATTTGATTACACTTTAAGATCACAAAATAGATAAAAAAAAATAGCGTAAAAACAGAATTGAGTATACTGACATTGTTCCTTGAGTTTTATTTGATTTTGATAACAATTCATGTTTCGTGTACGTTCATGGTGCTTTTGTGTAGGTTCTTAAATATTAACTACAACTATGAATTATGTTTTTATGATCTGTGAGCATATATTCGCGATATGGAAATACTTATTATTTGAACTAATTTTTTTAACCATTTTGACCCAATGTGAAAGCACTCCGTCAGATTGTCGAGGGACTTTTTGTATTGTTATGATTTTCCGCGTCGTCAAGTTTCTTGAATTTGCTGTTATTCTCATGCCCTGCACCTGAATAACGGGCCAGTTTATAGACCGACGCCGTCGGTGCGGTGCAAATCAATATCGATTTGCACTGTCCGTAGAACATTGTATTTACTGTTTCAGAGGAGAATTCGAATTTGTGTTCATCATTAATTCATGGCTGAAAGGTGATGCATTATGTTTTTACAAACTATACTGTCTTTTACTAAAATCGTTTGGAACCGCTATTACTGAAGCGCCAATGTTGTGCAACCCAGGTAACAATTTAATGCTTAACAAGCAATCATTCAAAGATTTTAGTTCAGCCTCAGTTTGAACAATGGGCTAAGTTTCCAGATCTAAAACATCAAATTTTGGAGATTTTAACCAGCTTAAAGCTTAAAAATAGTTTCAATGTTAAGTTTATTGAGACATTAAATAATACTCTATTCTAGCCCTTGAGTTTTAATAAAAACAAAGCATATACGTCGCCTTTCCCCGGCCACTCATTTATATATATTTTTAAACTCTTTTGTTCTAAACTTAAAATAAATTACATTTCATGTAGGTTAAAACAGTAACTTATCAGCCTTAATTGTTATGATATATATCTAAGTGTTCTAACATTGTTCCTGCATTGGCATTTCAGTATTTTAAACAGGTTTTCTAAACCTGCATGTCAGTTTAACAATTGACATCTTAAAACTAAAAACTTAAACTAAATTATCTAAGTATAAAGGGAATTAATCGTTGCAATCCTCAATTTTGCCTGAAATTATTAATTATTTTGTTGGACATTTGTTCTAAGGTCTCATTAGACATTCTATATACCTCGGTAGTACTGTACCAGGGAGCGAGGGGGGCGACAAATCTAAATCTCAATTCCAGATGCTCAACAAATCTCACACTAGCGAATCAAACTTCGAAAGATATTCTTTCATTTCTCTCATCTACTTGTATCGCGCATTATGCAGGAAATCTTCATAATCGACATCAATCTTCTTTCTATCTACTCAGCGTGCGCGCAGCTAGCCACAGCAAAACACAATTTTTCCTGCATCGTATATAGAGTAGCCCCCCTCGCCAGGGAGGCAACTTCAAAATCATCTTCAGAACTTTGTTCTGAATCCTTTGAAGTGTTTTTTTTCCTGGCACCATAAAGCATGGCCGGTCTAAAAACTTGTTTAAACATTAGAAGTTTATTCTTCAGGCAAAGTTTGGATTTTATGATTATAAGAGGATACAAACATTTTATGTAATTGAATGCTTGAATGCCCTCAATGTGATCTTTATAAAGTAAATTTTTTGTCAAATATTAATGCAAGATATTTCACTTGGTTTGACCAGGAAATTGGAACTCCGTTCATAGTGACTATGTGACTACTACTAAGTTTGGAAAAGGAAGCTCTAGGATTATGTGGAAATATTATAACCCAACAAACAATTCAGAGTCACAAATAAGCATATATATATTGAATAAATGCTGCATTACAGCGTACAATGCTGAATAAAACGAGAATTATGTGCTGAAAAAGCTCATTGAGATCGATAAATACACAATTATTTCACTGCTTGCTCTGATCAGATTAATTTTCTTATTAAAAGCTGTATAAACGTTGGCTGTCTTCCTTCTTGTCCTTTCAACGCCAGATGTTTGATCTTATAAAAAACTGAATAAGTGTAATTTGCACATACATACATTGCTTAGCTTAGCTTAGCTTAGCTTAGCTTAGTCTGACTGCACGTATCGATAGTTGCACTCCGTGATTGATCTGAACCAGTGAAATTGTACAAAGAATCAACTGAATGGGGCTTGGTAGTAACCTGCCATTCTCAGTGTACATGTTCCAGTGACTCCTACCTTTAAAGATCAATAACGTCACCGGCCACGTCCTTGCAATCAGGTGGGAGAGGGAAGGAATGTTAGTGTGTGACTTTTGTTGTTTTGGGACCGTGTTTACCTCTGCATCCCACAAAAGTCACAGGAAGGAGGTTTTGTTAGTGGGTTAGGTTCGTTGGATCAGGATTCACCTTGATAAGTGATGCGATCTTTTGTTTTGTGTAGTTATTTATAAGTGTTTTCGATTTATGCTCTAAACAGCCGGCTGTCTAGAGATGTAGATCATTATTAGATGTGTGTATACCGATTTAAACCAACAATAAGGATACTGTTGGGGCCCCTCACAAAGTGTGATGATGGTTTATTTTATTTTATCAATGACCAAAATAATTAATTATAAGCGGTTTGAACCGATTTAAACCAACAGCAAGGATGCTGTTGGGGCCACTCACAAAGTGTGATGGTGGTTTACTTGATTGAATATAAAATAATTATTAGAACCGATTTGACCCGATTTAGACCAACGGCAAGGATACTGTTGGGGCCACTCACAAAGTGTGATGGTGGTTTATTTAGTTCGGAAGAAAATGAATATGTATACTTCTTTTTTTTTATGTAATAGAACGAATTTGTACTGATTCAAACCAAAAGCAAGGGTTCTATTGGGGCAACTCACAAAGTGCGATGGTGGTTTATACTATAAGGGCATAAAACAAAATCAAGAGCCATTTCGGTTTCCATAGCTTCCTAGACACTCGGCCGCAAAATAATCTTATCCGACGGAAACGTCTCGATCATCGCTGCACAATGGTTTATTATAGCATTTATAAAGTAAATTTGAATACCTTATTGTTTATTTATTATCCATTTTGACTTGACTTGGTACCGTTCAGTTTTATGATGACAAAGTTGCCTGGAGAAAAGTGACAGTTCAAAATGTTTCGGAAGGGAGTCAGCTAGTGTCGTCCAAGTTCAAGTGCGGAAAAAATGCCATTTAAAGTGGTACAAACAATTGAAAGATGCGAAACATGCCTAACCGTAATTCTTTCTGGTTGGAAAGAAGCTGGAATCCTACACTGGCCGGAAAAAAAACGCGGTAGCGAAACTCTCTCAAGACGAGTTCTCCATGCCAAACCCAATGTGGGAACGTATCAATTGAGTGAAAAAAAGAGAGTTCAAGACTCGCTTGGAGGCTGAAGCAGAATTGGAACAGATGTAGCCAGTTTCGGATACGGAGGCGAACGAAGGGAATAATCCACCACCGTCAAAGAAAGTTTGCCCCGAAGTCTACAAGTCCCCCAGTCGGAAGGGAAACACAATAAGATACTTTAACGAAGTTTTCCTTATTCCTGGGCAGGAGGTTGACACCTGTGAAGCTGACTGTAAAATCCAGAATCAGATGAGATTATAATATATGCGACACAAATTCACTTTTTTATAGGGGAACATGTGATGTGAATAGAACCCACCATCAGTGCAAGGATTACATATGACTGCAGATACTTCACTGGTTGTAAAGTTCTGCCTGATGGTTTGTTGCAGCTGGGTGAATCAACTTCATTGAAGACCTTTGGAAGACAAACGACAAGATGTACGTCTATCAACACGTGACAAGGGACTGGCAAATCCACGAACACTTGTCCAGTCTACAAATCCATTGAAACCCTTAGGCTACCCCCCCCCCCCCAAACCCAACATATAATAATGTTTGATTGATGAAACGTATTCAAAAAAGGGATATTTAGAGAGAACAATCTTCAACTGGAACGTACTCACCAAATCAATACATCCGGGAGCGCATTCTCGATGCTTAATTTTCTCTAGTCATTTTTAAACAATTCCTCCTCCAGCGAATCCAAACACACAATAACTAAATATCACTTTTCTTCTTCATGTCACTCTGTGCACAAAAGAAATGCACACCGCAAAAACCTAATAATAGATCAGCGCGGTCGAGTCACACTGTCAACAAAGGGAGCGAGAGCACACCAGGCACCAAAGCAACAGGGGAAAAACATCAGCACAAAACATTCTAAATAGAATTATCGCGTCCGGGACATAAAACTATTCAAATGCGAGCACCGAAAAACTACACGGCAGCACAAAGATAGCCCGAGCTCTAAAAAAAAAGCACGCAGCGGAGCAAAAACACACAACCGTTCTCGGACGCTTCTCAAAGTGGACTCCAGTGTAATTTGCACATACATTGACGCTTTAATTCGACTGTTTTCAATTGATTTAATAACATACTTTCTTAGACTTCTAATAAATGTGTTCTAGCTCCATTATTAGATGTATTTGCATTGCTTTACAATATTGCTGAATAAAGGTGGGTACAGGCAGCATATAGCTCTTATACCACTATGCGTCCATGTTGTAAGCGCATGCTTTGTAAATGCAATATAAACGACATATTATATTCATTATTCCACAACACTGGTTCAGTCTAACAACAAGACGAAATCAGTAGAGTAGTAGTTACCATTTCCGCTTTCCAAGTAGAAGGTCGTGAGTTCAATTCCAAGCTCAGCCC